TCACACTTTCTTCTCCTCAGCATGTGCTTGTCAACACACACATTCTGTACAATGTGATAAGACACTTTTAGTTAACATGTGCACGCAACCAAAATAGATTAAAGGCATGTACTGAAATTTTTAAGACAGTACAGACTAAACAAGAATTTAAGGCATGTTAGAAACAGAGAGGGAAAGTAATTGTGCTCATTTATTCAGTTTTAAAATGAAACAAAAATTATTACATAGCTTTCTAATTGACAGTCAGAAATGGATCTTTTGAAATAGACTTTAGGAATATGAGAAAAGCACTCATCTAAAGAATGGGACCAGTTTACTAAAAAAAAAAAAAGTAAGTACAGTAGACTGCCCCACTGTATTTGTGTTTGTATAATTAAAGTTCCAGCAGTCAACTGCTTACTTTATAGTATCTTTAAAAACTTTATTAGGGTGTTGCTGCTCTGGCCTGTAAGAATCTGGCCTTTACGTCCTTATCAATGTCTATGTAATTCCCATTGCACGGGATGCAAGTTACAGACTTGTAATAGATGACAAAACTGTCATGCAGTCAGAATTCTGGTTTAACTAGCTACATGCATAGTACAGCAGAGCTAGATACCTTGCTGGGATCCTGCAACATGCTCTGCTTTCCATGCAATATGCTAAGCATTCTTACATCAGTTCATAGATGTTTTAAAGAGCGCTGAGAAAACTAGCTCATTTGTGTCCTGAAAGGTTGGCAATTCCTATTTTGAGTCCTCATTCTTAAAATGAGTTCTAGTATATACTAGAAACCTTGCAGTTCTGCAGTGTCTATTTAGCTAGCCTAAAGAAATCTCTGTTAAGTCCTATCGCTGCTGCCAGATGAAAAGAAAAGGCCAAAAGAAAATTTAAACAAATAACAGAAGTCAGGATCATTTTGCATTAACCACTGGCTCATGTTCTGTCCCTTAAAATGCAATTTTTGTGCTCATTAAGCATGTAGGGGGAGATTTGTTGTTGCCAAGCTGCTGTTCAGATTCCTAGTAATCAGATATATGTTGTTAAAATTGCCCTTTTCCACATGCATTTGATATGTGAACTGACTCTTCTTGTATTAGGCTGTGAGGATGGTAGCTGATGCTTTCCAGCTGCTGGGACAGACAAGGCATTTCATGACAGTTTCCTGAAGAATGTTCTGTCCTGTCTCCTGTGCTCCCCACACTTTTCTCTCCAAATTAATCTTCTTCCCCCTCAAAAAAAGTGCAGTTAGGCGATGTTGCCTAACATCTTACTCCCCTGCTGCTGACCCAGCCTAGACATGACATCAGTACTGGGCTAGGATAAGTCAGCTTCCTCATGGCAAAAGGGAGCATGAAGTAGGAGAAACTGAGCTGAATAGTTCTCAGGGGATGAGAGGGGTGTACTACAAGTTGCATACTTTAAACAAGTGGAATGGAATCTGTTAGAACAGGCAGACAGATATTAGCTGCTTAGATTTTTATCACTTAGAGGCAATTCATACCAAGTCAGAGAAGCTAAACCAAGTTCAAGAGGTAATATGAAAGACAGGGCAAAAGCAGACCTATCAAGCAAGTAAAACTCATTTAAAAAGGTCCAGTGGAAAGTGATTGGGTCTCAGAAAAACGAGGCCAGCAGCTAATGCAAAATAAAGCAACCCACTTTCATAGACAAAAAGCATGTGCAAGGACTGTTATTTTAGTACAGCTGATGTGCTTAAGAGCCACATCTTAATCTGTCTTTGATAATTTGCTGCTTTAGATATACCCATGGGTGCATCTGGCTGTATGTAGCCTGAAGGCCAGCAGTCAAGAATAAAAGGTGCAGAACTGGAATCATTACCTGTTTGTTAGGGTTTTTTTGCCCTGCCTTGAGGTTTACAGAAAATAGCAATGCTCTTAAGTCCAGGCCTTTAACTCCTGTGCTTAGAGAGTTTTCAAAAGGCCAATCAAGCTGCCTTCAGAACTACTTCAGGCCATCTGACCAGCATAGTAAGAATGAGTACCTGGCCTAGTACCCTTCTGTTCTATGCCACTAGAAGGGATGAGGTGGTGTTTCTTTTCTGTCTCATTCATAGACAGTGAAATGGAGTGTTTTATGGTTTCGTCCCTTTGCCCTTTATCTTTGCCAGCTGCCATTGGTGAGGGTTGGATTTCAGAGCTCAGAAACTCATGTTAAGTGAGACAGCCTGAAAATTCTGTAAGGTAACACTGATTTTTAAAAAGCAAAGCAAAAACTGAATGTTTTGCAAGACAGACAGAGGCATAATTAATATTAAAAGTTACATAACTAGTGAAAAACCGTGTTCCAAGTTGCAGTTCAGTCAGGTAAAAGAAGCTACAACAATCATCAGAGATCCTTTTAATCGTACCAACAATCACCCACTATACACAAAATACCAAAAGATACAGGGTCAATGGGTCATCAGGGATATTGACTCTCTAGTTAAGGGAATGTGAAAAATTCGGAGTCCAACATCTACCTGTACTTCTGAAAAGCAAATAGGCAACTACAGATTCACCTAATGTAGGTAAAATTTAATGAACGATCATTGATCACTCAGAGAATTTGATGTAAAAAGACCACTGAGTTATGAAGCCTCTGTCCGTAGTTTTGTGGATATTAGAGTGGTATTTGACTTCATCAGTGGATAAGAGAGTACGACTCCTGTTCCAACTGAAGGTTACTGAGTGAGCAGCTGGGGTTGCAGGGACTTTTTTATTGTTTTGTCCTTTAGACGTGTGTAATATGCAAAATGCTAGAAATAACTTAATTACATTTCATTTAAAAGTTGAAAAGATCCACCTGAAGCATAAGTTTAGCCAAGGCCACAAACTCATGTGAGTTTTAAATATACATAATATCTTACCATGCCAAAGCATCTCAAGGCTTTTTATAGAAGATCTACAATACCACTGTTAAATGAATGAAAACAAGCAAGTCTTTGGTTTGAGAGGCAACAGCCAAAATATTCAGCAACAAAAACAAGTAGCAGAGACAGAATATCCGGAAATGGAAGAATGAAACCAGGTCAGTAAAGAGTACCTAAGGCACCTTGTTTATAGTCATCTTTGCTACACTCCTTAAGACCTCCAAATAATATATAAAACTGCAAAAGCTTAGGAATGTAAAGATGAAACAGCAGAGGACAAAATTTGTTACTCTTATACCTAGTTAAAATTCCCATGATCAAAGGATGTGAATAAATATATTTTTCCAAGTGCTAATGAATTAAAGAGAAGAATCAGAGCTAGGAAAATGAATGAAAGGAGGAACCATTAAGAGTAAGTTCATTTGATATTAATGAATTGCAAGTCAAAGTGAAGTAGAAAAGAAGGCTGGACACTGAGATGTGGATATTTTCTGTAATGTCTAGTGCATTTCTCAGTCTCAAGTACTACAGAAGGTGGAAATATCCCCCTTAATTTAAAAATTAAAAAAATAGGAGAGTGCAGTCTGTTCTTGCTTCAGGAACATGCACTGTACAGCAGGAAGTGCAAAATTGACCTTGCAAAAAAAATATGCACAGGAGAATTTTGAAGAAGGATAGGAATTCAGCTTATTCTACAATAAATATTTTTAATCACCAACTTAGCTGAGACTTTCATAAAATGCAGTATGTAGTTGACTGGTAATATAAGCTACATCCGAGGACAGACTTGTTAAGTTTTGCTTTGGCCACTCCTGCCTGCAAATCAATACCAATTTTAAAAAAAAAAAAAGGGTGGGGGGAGAATCCCATTACTTCTTTGCCTCAGTACTAGATAGTTTGTGAGTCAGCTGTGTTGAGTCAGTTCCCTGTTCTTATACTAGGAAATAGAGCTTATAATTAAAGCTCTCTTTAACATAACTGGCTTACTACATGTTTGCTGAACAGGGTGCAAGATGTTCAGTCAGTTTCCAAATTTATGTTCCCTCCCTACTGCTAGCCAGAGAGAAGTTCATCCCTTTGCCTACTTTTCAAGACAAAAAAAAAGAAAGAAAACGCCTTCTATCCATCTCAGTCCCTGGCCTTATTTGAATATTAGTTCATTTATATACACCTCTAAAAATTTCAGAATGCCATGAGAGACTGTCAGGAGGAATCACCAAGAAATCTGTGGGTTTCCAAACGTGTGCAGCAGAACACGAAGTTAGGTTAGCTGAACACTTCAGGGGATATAAATACTTATAAGTTTTTTCACATAGTTTTGGGAATATTGAACTGAAGTCTGCAATAGCCAGAAGCCTGGTTACATTTTAATGCGTATTAATTAAAAACTGTACAACAGCATTTAGTGTTCATGAAGATGATTGTTACACTTTTGGCATTTTTAGGAAAGCACATCAAGCTTTAAAGTAGAATAAGACTGTACTGTCTTTCAGTACCTATATTACACTGAGAATTTGTGCTCACAAAGTACAAAAAACTGCAAACACTTTCCTCATTGTCTGCTTTTACCTTTTGTTCTCCCCTCAGGTATGGCCCATCTCCTGTTCCCTCGGAGCTACCTTTGGCTATATGGCTGGTCTGATTATTGCACCTCTGTGGATACACTGGAACCGGAAGCAGCTTACATACAAAAGCAGATAACTGGAGCAAAGAGAGACAAGGTATTTCTTTGTGCAGATTCCATACAGACTGTGCAAAAGGTTTTTTTTTTTAAGAGAGAGAGAGAGAGGGATATGTATAGTCAAAGCAGAAGACTATCCAAATTCATTTAGAGTATTTCAGGCCAAGCATCTCCACTCAATAAAATCACATAGATGCCGTTTCAGCATGGTGCAGTTTTTGCTTCCTCTAGACTATGTAACCCTGAGAGATTGTACCTTCCAGTCTGAATAAAATATTTGTAACAGATGTGGTGGCTTCTTATTACAAGTTCATTGAGTTTGATTTTATTCCTCTGGATTTCACTGGTTGTAGAAGGCAGAATCGTAGTTTTAGCTTTCAAACCTGTAACAAGTTCGCTGTGTACTTAATGCATTGTATTTAAATTCAGTAGAATTTCACAGTAAGCCTGGCCATTGTCAAATATATCTCACGTGATCAAACAGCAGTTTATGCATCTTGAGCCTATTCTCTTCTTCACTGTGTGTTTCTTTGGAGTTAGAATGGCTATAATAGCTTCATCAAAAACGGTCTTCAGTCCTTTCTGTGTTAAAGCTGAACACTCCACATAGCAGTAGGCTCCTATCTGTCAAGAAAATAAGTTAATTCAATAGCAATATACTTCAGCTGTTCACTTCTATCTGTGCACTTCTGCATTTTTCTTTTCTATAGTGACATCACAATGTTTGGCTGTGATCTAGAAAAGTTATCTGTGTGTGCATCCCCCTGTAGGTGAAGAGAAGATTTGTCTTTTGGGCAAAGATCTGGAATGTATTTTAGTTGGCTTGGTTTATAAAGCAAGCATATTAAATAAGGTCTTTGGATTGGCAGTGGGGTCCCAAGGTATTTTTGATAATTGAACAGCAAAAAAGAATTACAGGACCAATTTATCTTTCAAAAATAAGACTCTACAAATAAGTGTCCTGATAAGCATTATCCATGCAGTGTGTTAAAATGGTAGCATTCTCAAATAATTTCTTAAAGATGCTTTCAACATCTTGCTTGACCAGGAGAGGTCCCTTCCAACCTCAACAACTCTGTGATTTTAAGTCTCTGTGACTAATGCTTATGTAGTTTTTATGAGTGTCTACATAGAAAGTTCGAACTATTACTAACAGGGAAGTGCTATTACACAGCTCTGCTTGTTAGCTGTATTCAACAACGTAAGTAAATATTGTTAACTGGTAACCAGTCATAGCGTTTCATACACTGACTGGTAAAAGAAATGGGCAAAGTGGTAAAGGAAGAAAGTCAATTGGAAATAGGGTTTTTTGCTTTTTTGCTACTTGGTTTCATTTAGGAGTATCCAGTTTACCTCTTTCGCTAACTTCTGTCCTTGCTCCACAGATATGGGCTTCTCTTTCATATCATTCAGTCTTGCCAGAGTTTTTGGGTCATCACGAAGATCAATCTAGCAAGAAAGATTGCAGTTATGTTGGAATACTTTTTCTAAACAAAAGTAAGCAGGCTATATGATACCCTCTTTTTAAAGCAGAATTATTTATTTAATGGAGTATTAGGTGTATAAAAATGGAGTCATGTCATGATTCAGATCGTGGACCCTTCTTGATCCAAAAGCCCTGGAAATTTAAGCTGTGAACTACTACCTTTAATCCAGAAGGAACAAACGTTTATTCTGTAATTCAGCTCTTCAATTAGATGTGATCATGTCCGAATACTAGAATGTATATCCAGCAGTGGCAGAAAGATTAACCCAAACATAATACCAACATGTCGGTCACTTTGTAATTGAAGCCCAGTCCACTGCCCACAAGAAGCAAAAGGAAATTCATAGAATCATAGAATGGTTTGGG